GAGGCCAGGAGTGGGCCTGGCTGGGCCCCCTGGCTAAGAAGGGGACCCCATAGTCAGTCTGTGCCAGAGGGAATAGCTGAGGAACCTCCCTGCCCGGGCACCTGAGGCTTCAAGAAGGCCACAGAGCTGAACCAGCCAAGGGTGGAGGCAGCCCAAGAACAAAGCCAGATTCTGATTCACTTGCTAGTTTCTCCTCATTCTAGCTGTGTGACCATGGGGCAAGTTGCTTGACCTCTCTGAGCTTTAGTTCCTATCGACAAGGGAGGCAACTTTTATGGCCACTCTACCTGGTAGTCCTCCCAGGCATTCTGCTAGCGCCCAGGAAGTCTTGCCTCCCGCTGTGAAATGGCCTTGGGGGTGGGGAAACTGGGGGGAAGGAAGGGGCCCTGAGTCCCGCCCCACGATCCCTAGAGCAGCTCACTGTTGGCTGTTTGGTACGTGGGGTCCTGCCCTCACCCCCAGCTGCTGCCCTCCACCCGTCTTTGCTCGAGTTGGAAATCAGAGTGTTCCCTCTCCCTCCTCTTGCCTCCGCCCCCTTCTAAGCCTCCACCTCCCCAGCAGATCCGAGTCTGTCTCTTTGTCCCTGCCCTCCCTGCCACCCCAAGTCCAGCCCGTCACCTCTCACTTGCGACCCCCTCAGCAGCATCATCACTGTCTCCCTGCCTCCTTCTACCCTCCTCCCTGCCCCTGCCCTTTCCCTGCCCCATGCAGCCAGGCACCCAGGCAGACCCTTGCTCTGCTCTGCTCCAGGCCCCTCTGTCCCCCAGGGGAATCCTGGCTCCCTCCAGCCCAGGGCCTGGTCCCTTCCCTCTGTGTCCTGATTGGCCGCACCTGTCCCGCCCAAGCACTGACCACCAAGTCCTCCCCCAGGGCATGACTGTCTTTCCTCCATTTACCACAACAGAGATTCCTGAAGAGCCTGCCTGTTAGCCTGGTCAGTGGACATGGCCAGTGGGTGCCTGTGTGCCAGGCCGAGAGGGGAGGGCCTGCTCTCACCCCTTCCCCAGGAGCAGTGCTGTGCCAGGAGCACTGCCGAGTCCAGACCAACCTGGCCAGCCCTGGCCCTGGCCTGAACCCCACCCTGAAGGACATGACTGGCCGGCTGCTCAGCTCGGGTTTCTGGCAGCAGAGCAACCTGAAGACCCCGGCCAAGAGGCCCCGGGAGAAAGCCCAAGAGGTCGCTGCCCAGCAGAGTAACCTGAACATAGGGAGACCAGCTTGGCCAGGGATGGAAGTCACACCAGCCCCAGCCTCTGCTCAGAGCTTCAGGAAAGCCTCTGGCCCCATCCAATGCACCAGGGAAGCCCCCTACCCCAAGGGCCCCTGGCTTACACATCCTCTAGACTGAGACAGTCCTGGCTGCTGGTCACAGATACGCCCTGCCCAGACTTCAAGCCCTCTGCATGCTTTGCCCCTCTTGACAGGCACACACAGCCAGGCCCCAGATCATGGTGTGGCCTGGAGAGCGGGGCCTCCAGGCTTGTGGGGGAGCCCCTCACCCTGGAGGACCTGGCAGGGCCTGCCCAGAGCCAGGCGTGGGCCCCATCCCAAGCTGCCATCCACTGGCTCCTGGCCTCTGTGTGGCACCTGGAGCACCAGGTAGTCTATCTTGGGTGCCAGGCATCCTGGGAACCCCCCGGCCCTGTGCAGCAGGACCCCTGAACCAGCAATAGCCAGGCACTCACTGCCCACCCCCAACCCAGCCAGTTGGTACTTGCTTCCTGGCACAAGAGGAAGAAACACCCCCGAGGTGTCAGGGAAACTGTGGATTTCCCAGAGACACCAGGGGGACGCGCTGGTCTGTCACATCCTCAGGCGAGCAGCAAGCCCACATGGCAGAGACCATTTTGGGGGTGCTGGCTGGGGATTTCCTTGACCTGAGGTGAGGAGAGAACTGTTCCCCAGGGCCTATGTACGGCAAAGGACAGTGGGGGACCCCCAGCTCCCTCAAGGGGCGAGTAGCAGGGAGGCCAGACTCCGCTCTTCAGCCTGCTCTAGTGCAGCCCCGGGTGTCCTACCTGGACAGCGAGGAGGGGCAGTGGCCCCGCAGGAGCAGGTCAGCGGGGAGGAAGAGAGGATGGCTTCCGGTCCCCCAGACACAGCCCCAGCGAGGAGTGCCCTGCAGGTACGGGCCAGAGGAGGCTGGGGTGGGAGCTGGGTGGCTGCAGGGCCCCCGTTCTTCCCTCCCCAGAATTCTCACTGCAAGCTGGCCGTCACTACCCTGTCAGCCCTCTTCTCCCAGAAAGGCAGGCCTTGGGCAGGCAGGTGTGGCAGGGGCGGTCCTGTCCTGCTTGCTTCTCAGCCTGAGAACTGTGTCATGTCCTTTTGCTTTCTAAGAACAAAGCCCCAAACATCGGGAGCCGGGAGCCCAGGAGAGCCAGGCGAGGCCTTACTCCTAGGACGGCACCTGTCGCATTTGCCTGGGTGAATAGGGACGAGGCCCTGATAAAGAGAAGGCCTTGATGGCAGATTCGTGCAGGATTTAGGGGAAACGGAAACTCCTTCACACTGTCCCTGCAGGGAAACAGGGGGCCTCTGGGCACCAAGGACAGGAACATGGGGACTGCTTGGGATCTTAAACCTCTGTGGCTGCCCTGAGCTCGCTGCAGTCCGGTGGGGCGTGCTCCGGCCTCTCGGAGCTTTCCTGGCTGGGATCCCCTAGGCTAGCCTCAGCAGCGGGATGTGCTTCCCATCTGCAGCTGGTCTGTCCTTCTGCACCCTCATCAAGGTCAGAAAGGTGATGGGGTGCCGAGCGCCCAGCTGCTCCCAGGGCTGAGGGGCCAGGCCCACCCCCGATCGGCACTGGTCTGTCCCCAGCCAGCAGCGGCTGTCCAGATGTTTCAGAGCCTGGAGGCACTTGACACTGGGGCAGTGGGCCGCATCAACGGCAGCAGTGCTGGGCTGCCAGCAGGTGCTGCCCTGGGCACTGTGGCCCCGGGAGGCCCAGCTGGAGGTGGCATGGGGGCGACACACTCAGGCCCTGCTGGCCCAGAGCTTCCATAAGGTCAGCAGCCTCCAGTTTGGTCCATGGGGAGGGATGAAGGGCTGTTTTGTCTAGACAGGAGGTTCTTCCAGGGCATGAGTTTACCCCCTGAGTGATCAGCAGTAGAGCTGGTGGTATTCAGCCCAGATGCCTGAACCAGCTCTTCCTGAGTTCAAATCCTGCCTCTGCTACTTTCCTTTGTTCACACTTTCTCACTGTGTAGCCTTAGGCAAGTCACCTAACCTCTCTGTGCCTTAATCTCTAGCTCTAGAATGGGACAATAATAGTACATCTCAGGGTTGTTGTGAGGTTGAATTAATAAATATAAGCACCTCAGAACCCTGCCTAGCACATAACAAGCTCTCTACCATAGAAGTTGCTATTTTTTACTAGTGGTTTGTGTACCAGGCCTGGAAGGGCACGCCTGTGTTTCTCCCTCCTTGGGCAAGAAGGGCTCCAGGGGGGCCCAGCTCCAGGTCGCGCCTCCCAAGGAAAGCCCTGCCTCTTGGGCCCCATCTCTCCATTCATTTCTCCATTCCCGAAGAGGCAGGGCAGTCTAATGGTTACAGCCCCAGGCTCTGGACTCTGACAGAATGTTTGACTCCTGTCCCTGCCCTTTCCTGGTGCCCCTCTCGGGGTACATTTGAGGCTGCACCCAGCATCCCTCTTGCCCTTCTCTACTGACCCAGTGGAGAAATCTGCCTTTGCAGCAGAAACAAGGGTAGCCCCACATCCAGGCTGGGCCAGGACCCCCATCCTCTGGGGGAGGCCAAGGCCGAGGCACCCCAGGAAGGAAGCCAGTGGAGGATCCCGCCTGGAGAAACAGGTAGTCTGGGACAGCCCAGGCTGGCCAGTGTGGCCTGCGCAGTGCTGGCGGCCTTCCCTCACCCTCTTCCTGCCTCCGCGTCCCCCACTGCCCCTGCCCCCCACAGGAATGAGGGTGTAACCGCAGTTGTGGACAAAGACTCATGCAAAGTGTCCATCACAGCATTACTTATACTTGTCAAAACTTCCCAGCAGCTTGAATGCCCAACAGGGAGTGAGAAAAGTAACATTTAACCATGTGATAAACATTTGACAACTATTCGATACAAGACTTTAAAAATTCTCCCCGTTCTTTTTTTTCTTTGTTTTTCATTTCAATATCATTATTGGTGTTATTTCTATAACACAAATGGATGCTTGGTTTGAAAAAACATTCAAAATAGTTGAAAGTTTCACCCTTCTCCCCATGTATCCTCCTTCCTGGATGTAGTTTTATGGGTATTTGCATAGAGGTTTTAATGATAGGGAAAAATGGTTATGATAGTATTAAATGGAAAGAAAAGGAGGATAAAAAAATAGTAGCTAAAACATTTTTTTCTATGCATGTTAAACAATGCATAGAAAAAGGACCAGGAGGAAAAATACTAAAATATTGCACAACAGTATAAATTACAAATTACTACAACTAAACTCTTCACCTAAAAATGGTTAAGATTGTAAATGTCATGTTATGTGTGTTACTCTTAAAAATAAAAATAAGTATTTCCTCCAAAAAAATACTAAAATGCAAATAACACTTATTTCTGGACCAGTGGGATTACAGTTGGCTATTTTCTTCTTCACCTCCTCAATTTTCAACTATAGCAATGCATTGTTTTTGTTCTTATTTTTAAATTAGGCAAATACATCTAAAATAATTATTTAAATAATATCTATCTTAATATGTGTTTGTTGTAAAAATCCAAATAATAGTACTGAAGAGAACAATGTGAAAGCAGGACCCCCTCCCCAAATCAAGTATAGAATCAGGAATATAATGAACTGTCTGGAAGGGAACAGGGGTGGCTCCGTGCCCCTTGCTCCTGTGGATGGGCAGCACCTGCCTCAGGCTGGGGTGGGCAGGGCGGGACCATGCATTCTCCCGCGGCCCAGGCATCAGATTCTCTCTGAGCAGCTCCACTCTCAGTCCAGGAAGTCTGAGGCGGGGAGATGGGTGCCCGGCTGACTCCATCACATTCTAGGCCCAGACCAGATGGAGGAGTCGGGGGAGTCCAGACCCAGCATGCCCTGCAACAACTCGTCGGTGAGCTGTGGGGCGCTGGGAAAGCAGGGGAGACGGAGCTGGTCAGGGCCCAAGCCCCCGCAGAGGGCAAGGGGTCCCGAGCGATCGTTTATTGAGCATCTACTCTGGCAACTTCCCAGACATGATCCCACTGAGCTCCACAGTGACCTAGGCAAGGCATTGTGCCCATTTTACTGATGGGAAACTGAAGCACGGAGAAATTACATGGCCAACTTGAGGGCACACAGGATGAGAGGTGCACAGCCTGAATTTGTGTGCCATTGACGAGGGTACAGGCCCAGCAGAAGCTTGAGTGTCAGGTCCTTTAAACATCACTCACTCATGGGGAAACTGAGGCCCAGGAATGGGGAGTGACACAGCCTGGCATCCCAGGCTTCCCCTGTCCTGAGCCTCCCCTCCGCCAACCCCTTTTTCTTGCTCCTTCCCTTTCCAGCCTTCCTCCTGGAGTGCCATCAGAGGCGGTGGGCCCGGCAGGAGAGGCTCTGAGGGCCACACTGAGGGCTCGGAGGACGCGGAGGCGCCGACAGGCCTGGTGCCGTCATGCTGCACATGCAGCCTGCATGGCCCCACTGGACATCCGGCCCCAGCGAGCCTGGCTCTGCAGGTAGGGGGCGTGGAAGGATGTGGGTGTGGGGAACCTCTGCCCTGAAGTGAGGGTGGGATGCAGCTGGGAGATGCCCTTTAAATTGGTTCTGACTCCTTGTAGTATTGAAACAACGATGAAAATAAGGGAAAACAGCTGCCGTTTGCTGAGAGCCTAAGAAACTGCCCCGGGGCTGGGATTTGGTTATGAGCCAAGCTTAGTGCCAGCTCCCGCCTGCCCTCAAGGAAACCAAGGCCTGGGAGAGGGCGGAGGAGATGAGCCATCACAAAAGGCATTTGCAAATACTGCCCGAGCTGAGTGTTGCAAAGGGAAGGAACACAGATCATACATCTATGAGGTTTTTTTCCCTTGTTTTGTTTTCCTTGTTTCTACTAACTTTTTATTATGGGGCATTTAAATCTTACACAAAAGTAAAAGAGGATATAAACCCCAGTGTCCCCATTATCCAGCTTCAAGAAGATCACCTCCTGAGAAAACCCATTTCATCTATACAACTATTTCCCCCTCCACATTATTTTAAGGCAAATCCCGTACATCATACCATTCCATCCATAAATATTTCTATAGCATCTCTTTTAAAGGTAAGGGTTCTTTTAAACAACATAACCACAATGCTGTGATCACACCTAAAAGATGAGCAATTCCTTAATATCAATGAATACCTGGTCAGCAAATTTCCAGTGTTTTACAAGAATGTATTTCGTTATAGCTTGTTTGAGGATTAAATAAGGTCCACCTGTTGTGACTGTCTGATAAGTCATTAAGTCTCTTTATGTTACGGCCTTCCCTCTATTTTTTTTTTCCTTGCAATTTATCCATTGAAGAGTTGCTTGTCCAGTAGTTTCCTAAGGTCTGCCTCTTTCCTATTGCATCCCCCTGGGGTAGTTTTCTGTAAGAACTTTGAACAAATGGAGCTGACCTAGACCATGGTTCGGTGGAAGTGTGAAGAGGGTATGGTTGACCAACAGAGGAAGCAGACAGGAGGGCACCAGGCAGAGGCGACAGCATGTGCAAAGACCCTGTAATGGGTGGAAAACTCAAAGCACTATGGTCGAATTGGAGCCCTGTTAGCACGGGGTATAGGCCCAGGCAGGTTTAAGATGACATTGGAAAGGGATGTGGGGGGCCAGGTCATACACAGTCTTGCAGATTGTGGGGAGGAGTTGAAATTTTATCATAACAACAGCAAGAGGACTGCCACTGGGAGATCTCAGTGGGGGAGTAAGATGATTTGATTTGAGATTTGAAAAAGGAAATAACTCTGTAACTGAGGAGGAACTGGCTGGAGGGGGGGGCCAAGAGTGAGTGCGGGAGGCCAGGTGGGAGGCTGCTGAGGCCATCCAGGCACCCAGAGGTGATGGTGTTGTGGCCTGAGCAGGTGGCATGCCATCCTTACTGCAGCCCCATTTTACACATGAGAAAACCGAGGCTCCAAGAGGGGAAGTCGCCTGCCCAAGGACTCAGTGGTGTGTCTGGCATGAGGCAGGCGGCTGGGGCTGCAGTTGCTACTGTAGCACCAGCTCTTTCTCTCGGTCCTCCCAGGTGTTTTGGGGCCTGGCAGCAATTTGTGCAAAGAGGAGCCCTGCACCGGGACCACCTGGCTGACCACTGGGCAGGGACCCTGAAGATATGCCTGCAACAGTGGGTGCGGACGAAGCAGCTCCGGCCCTCAAATGGGGCAAAGGAGACCCAGCTGTCCCTCCCCTGGCAGAAGGAAGGTGAGTGGGTGTTGAGCTGTGGGGCTCCCCGTCCCGCCCACCCCAGCAAATGGTGCCCCTCAGGCTCCTGCAGCGGGCCCCACATGAATTGTGATGGAAGGCGATGGATTGGGAGCTTTCTAGGGTTACAGGCTGATTGGCCTGGGAGGATCTGGGGAGGATCCCTGGAGCAGGCAGGCCTTGGCTGGGCCCCATCCTTACCCCCATTTGTGAGATTCTCAAGGCAAGAGACTTCATTCCATCTTCTACCCAGAAGGGATGTGGTCCCTGCTTCTGGGAAGCTCCTGGTCTGTGGGGAACATGCAGCCTCTGCCCCCAAAACCTGATGGGGAAGATGGGATCTTTGACATGACCTGGAGGAGAGGGTTTGGAGGCTGTGGGAGGGGGCAGTACCTGTTTGGGGAGAGGCCTCAAGAGGCCCTGAGGCAGCAGCCACCAGTGGCTTTAAGCAGAGGGAAGCCCCTGGGGATGTTGTTGATTTATTCCTTGATTGCTTCTCAGGGAATGTGGCCACCTGCAGCTCAGTTCCTGGAGGGCCACAGCCCAGGCCCAGCTGCTGCCAGGGGAACAAGGCCTCCGGGCACTGCTGCTCTGGAGGACACCGATGCACCCGTGGGCTGAGTAGGTGGCCGTGAGCATGTGACCTGGGGTTAGGCCTGTAGGCGTGGGAGCACAGGGTGCACTGGGAGGGGTGTCCTGTAGGCGTGGGGGCACAGGGTGCACGGGAGGGGTGTCCCATAGGCAGTGGGTCATGCCCTGCTCCTCCGTGTGGCCCCAGCAGGTATGGGGCCAGGGGATGGTGCAGGGGCACTGCGACAGTGATTGAGCAGAGAGCCGTGGGAGCCGTGGGCGGCCGGGGCCCAGACACAGAGCTCTACCCAAATGGCTGGAACCATCAGGAGGCTGGTTTCATGCTCATCTCCCTCCCGGGAATCTGGAACCACCGCTTGCCCATCTCCTCCCTGGGTGGGAGCCTCCTGGTGGCAGGAACCATGTCTCCCAGCCCCTTGCAGGTAGGTGCCTGGAATGGCACAGGCTTGGGGTAGATACTATAAATGAAGAAGTGAAGGAGTCACTTATCCCTCTGTCCCCATCTGCCTCACTATACAGCTAGAGAAACTGAGGCTCAGAGGGACTGAGCAGCTTGCTCTAAATCACACTCTGAATCAGGAGCAAGAAGATCCCCGTAATGAGAGCTTCCTGGTGTTTCTTTCACACAAGCCTCATCGCTGGGATTCAGAGCCAGGCCCAAGGCTGTGGGCGAGGGGAGGGGCCGGTGAGGGATGTCAAGAGGCATAGGCAGGGTTAAGAATTCTGTCCTTGAAAGCCACATACTTGCATCCATCATCCCACACCCACCTGGTCCACTTGGACCCTCAGTCTCTTTAATCGCACCCCTGGAACTCCAGGGAAAGTCAGTTCACCAGGATCCTTCAGAACGCAGCCGTCGCACTCCCGGTTCATCCTCTGGCCTTTGGGCATCGGAACACAGTTGATTCTTCGTTGCAGCAAGCCCGGGCTGCCCTAGGGACGGAAAGGACTGTTTGGATCCCAGGTCTTCTACTGTTTGGAGTTCTGCCAGATATCAGCCTATAATTATAACTGAGCAGAAGCAGAAGAACTGGTGTGGTTTTACATGTGGTCTCTTGCTGGGGTCCTTGGGCCTGGGGACCAGCCCCAGCCCTCATCAGCTGTGTGGCCCCCACTCACCCAGGGAATGTGACAGGGATCAGCCAGGTGATACAGGCAGCACAGTGGTCTCGGCCTTAGCTGATCACAGGTCACTCTGGGAGCTTTGGAAAAGTCTGGCAGCCCAGGCCACCCAGACCATTAAATCAGAATCTCCGGGTGTGTGATCCCAGGGGGCATGGGTATTTCTTAGAGCCCCCAGTGGTCCTAGTGTGTGGCCAGTTTGGGAGGCAGTGCTCCAGCCTGTGTTTGGCACGAGGTGGCACCCTCCCAGCTCAGCTCTCTTTCCTGCCCCTTCCTCCAGCTCCTTCTTCTGGAGTGTGCCTGAGAGGGTGGACTTGAGGGTGAGGGATCCAGGCACCCCATCAGACAGTGCCAGGACCACCTCTGCCACACAGCAGCCGGGAGGGGAAGCCTGGCGGGGCCACAGCACACCCTGCAGCTCACTGGAGCAGGCGAGGGCTAGGCGTGCGGATGCACCGGGGGCAGGCGGGAGGAGAGGGCCCAGGGAATCCAGAGCTCCGCACCTCCTTCCCCAGGCCTCCAGCAGCACCCCCCCCACCGGGGGTCTGCATCCCAGAGGGCTCCCACCTCCTGCCCAGTGAGTTGGTCCCAGACTCAGACCCTCTCAGCTCCTCCTACCCTCCCACACTGCCCTGCAGGCTTATCTTTCTTCTCAGAGATTCACAGCTGGGCTCATTCATTTATTCATTCATAGCACAATGCTTAAGAGTCATTCTGCCTGGGTTACAAGCTGTCCTTGTCCCTATTTCCCAATTTGTGTGCTCCAGTGGAAATCAACAAGGTCAGGGCAAGTAATACCAGCAGAGTGCCTGGCACATAGTAAACACTCAGTTCATAGCAATGTTTATCACTGGTGGCTGAGCACAGGACTTGACATTGAGGTCCCATCTTATCCCCACCACCTGTCACTGTGATCCTCAGAGTAGCATTTGAAATGTTCAGCCCCCATCAACCCACCCTCTCCCGTGATGGAAACAGGAGTAACCTCAAGCCCCTTTCTGCTGCTAGGGGAGGGGAGGGTTGGGCTGGCCTGGGGTGGCAGTGACCACCCTCAGGGCAGACATTCCCCTTCCCAGCATCCTTCTGGGCTACAGAGGGGCCCAGAGAGAGCAGGCTGCCTACTGGGCCTGGGGTTGGAGCTGCAGGGCTGCACTGGGCTTGTGGCGGCAGCGGTGGGTGCAGTGGTACAAGGCGGAGCAGTGGGCTCAGGGCAATGGTGGAGACTGGTGCGAGGTGCCCTGCGCCACTGGCACTCCTGCTGGCAGAGTGAGTCAGGAACTGGGTCAGGGGCACTGAGGGTGAGAGGAGGCCAGGGTCAGGGAGAACCAGATTCTGTGTCCTCCAGCACACAGTCCAGTGATGGTGCCCCACAGGACAGAGCCCAGGCTGGGGAGGCAGGGCAGAACCTGGGGGTGTGGACACTGTGATCTTGGGCTCACATCCCTGCTGTTCCATTCTCTGGGTGTGTGGGCCTTACATGAGCGACTTAACCTCTCTGAGTCTCAGCTTGCTCATCTGTAAAATGGGGCTCACAGCAGTTCCCCCAACATAGGGTGATTGCGTGGTTTCTACGAGACCATCCATGCAAAGTGCTTGGCTCAGAACCAGCTCCCAGGAGATTTACCACCATTAGCATTTTCACCTTCATCTTCATCTCTCACGGCTGGCCTTCAGGAGTCAGGGGTCTCAGCACTGAGTCGTGGCACCCTCGGAGCCCAGTTGGCAGTGGGGATTCTTGGGCACCATTTTAGAGGCTTCCCGCTATGCTGACCTACTGCGTCAGTGGGCTGGTGGGTGGGAACTTGGGCATCCTAGGAAGTTCCTCCAGCCCAACTGTCACCAAGGAATGCTGGCCCAGTATTGCCAGACATTGTAGTTTTGAAAGAAAAACTGGAAATCTGGATTTTAAGGTGAATTCTCCTGATTCCTAAACATCGTCAAGAAAGTTAAAAACAAAAATGCCTCTATGGGTTGGGTTGGCCTAGTCACTAGTAGGCTACCTGGAATCAAAGCATTTTAACCCAGACAGTTAAGGGGGCCTCCTCTGTTCCCACTTGGGTAGAGGGCAAAGGGCTGGCTGAGCAGGGGTCCATGGTTACCCAGGGCCCAGGCATGAGTCTGGAATGAGTACTCAGTGGCATTTCAGCATCTCTGTGGCCACGGGCAGCAGTTCCTGCATGATAAGTACCAGCGGTGGGTATAGGCCCACCTCCAGGGCTTGCCGAGGGCTGTGTCCCAAGGCTGGCAGCAGGCAGCAGCTTACCAAAGACATACAGTGGTCAGGGCAGAGCAGCTCCTACTGCAGAGGCGGGTGGACCTGGGGTGGGAGGGAGAAGGTCATCACCGCTCTGGGAAAACCAGGGGATAGGATGCTGGGTTGCCACCATAGGCCTGGGACCTGGGAAATGGGGGGCAGGAAAGGACGCCCCAGCCTGGAGCTACAGTCATGACCTTTCCATTATCTGCTTTGTTTGGGAGGTGAGGATGACAAGCCCCTGAGCCCACGCAATGCCCTGACAGGCCCCAGGTCTCCACCTCCTGGCCATGTCGAACCTTTGGTTTAGAGGGTACAGGAAAGATGGGGAAAATCAGTTCCTCAAATAGCCACTGCCCGTGGGTTCCAACACCACGTGTTTTGAGGAGTCTGTGCAGTTGCTAGAAGTAGAAAGTGCAATCTCAAACAGAGATGTTCTAGTAAAACCTGGATGCAGTTTGCTGATGCACATTCAGAAGCAGAGGGCAGTGCCGACGCCTCCTCCCACTGTGCAGTTACAAGTCCGCAAACGTTCTCAGCGTTCCCACAGGGGCAAGGGACCACTGACAGCCTTTGCACCTGAACAGTGAAAACATTTTCTTGGCCCCCAGGGAGTGGGGGACCGTGTTCCCCTCAGCCACCTCCTGCCCCAGAGTGGCTCGTGAGGGGAGGCAGGCACCGGCAAGTCCCCAGCGGAACTGGGACTTGAACCCACAACTGCTGGATTCCCACACCCTCCCTGGGAGCATCTGCCCTCCTGAGCCCGGGTCTACTTGCGCTGAGGCCCCTTAATGAAAGTCAGGGCTTTCAGCTGTTACACTTTGGGCCCTATGTTGTTGTTTTTTTTAAGGCACAGGGTGGTGTATGCAAAACTATGTATAACATATTTTGTGGTGAATTTTTGGGTATAATGTTGAATAAACGTGACTTTGACTCTGAGAGCTAGACAGGCCCCTCCTCTGCTCCTGTTTCATAGCTGCTTCCAGGCCTGGTGTGGAGTCCTGAGAGACCCGGGGGTGTTCCTGGCCAAGTAAGACTCCCAGGATGGCCTGAGGACAAGGGTGTGGAGAATCACATTCTCCATGAGGAGGGTGGCACAGGCAGCGGAAGCCAGGGCACGGAAACAGTACATGGCCCAGGCCTCCACTGTCCACCGGAAAAGCTGTGTGCAGCGGGGCTGGGCAGACAGGCAGCCGAGGAGGGTGTGGACTCAGCAGGCCTTTGTAGCACAGCAAGTAGTCTTGGGCCAGCGCTGCGAGGCGCACCAGCTGTCAGAAGAGAGAGCTCGTGCCTGGGCCCGGATGGCCCTGTGCTGGGCACTTTGGGTGTGTAAGTCCCACTACACCAGGTCAGCCAGGCTCCCGCTACCCAGAAGCTAAGTGCCGCGTGGGTGCTCACGGCCTGAGGGCAGCCACACACTGTGCTTCCAGCCAGAGCCTCCAGCGCGTTTGGGGCAGCGATAGGGGTACTGGTGGCTGCCTGGATGCCAGAGCTCAGGAGGCTGCGGGTAATGGGGAGAAGCAATCCTGGTCATTGCAGCCCACATCTGTACTTTCCAGCTGTAGGACTCTTCTCTGGGCTGTGACTTTGAAGTCTAACCCGGAGCCCCTGGTAATTAGAGTTGTAGCTGTGGGCTCAGGTCAAAGGAGGAGAGCAGGCCTGCCTTGCATGGTGGCCCCAGGGACTAGAGATAACACGTGATAACATACCACTCCAGCCAAAAACACAGGCGGTGCTCAACTGACCATGTTCTTATGAGGGAAGGGGAGGCATGGTGTCATTGGCAGGACTGCCCTCCCTGTCCCCTAGACAGGATGCTTGTGTGATATTCTGTTGCTCTCCAGGCCCATTTGAACCAGATTTCTCCAGGAAAGGGATGGGGGGAGGAGGAGCAGAGAGGCTTTGCCTGGAGGTCCCCTTCCTGCAGGGCGTAGGCTTCGGCTGGAGAGGGCTCCCTACAGCTGCTGTAGATATGGGCTCCTCCCTCTCCCCCGGGGTCCTAGAGGCCTGGGCCCAGTCAGCAGCCCAGGGTCGTGTCCAGCAAGCCGTCATTGCCCAGTTCCAGTGGACTGGTGTCAGGTGCCCCTTGCGGACTTGCTGGGCCCAGAGGCAGACAGCGTCGCTCAGCATGCAGCTGGAACCACAAGTCGAGGCCCAGGAGGCCAGCCCTGCCCTCCCCAGGTCCAGGGTCCACCTCAGACACCAGCCCAGGCTGGCCAACAGAGCTGTGCACTCTTCTGCCCAGAAAAGCAGTATGGCTGGGCCCAGGGAGTGTGACATATGTCACCCTACAGCCTAGGATCAAGATAGGTACACGTGGCCAGGAGGAGTTGTCATTTTTTTTTCTTATTGGAGAAATGAAACATGCTCACTACAGAAAAATCAGAAAATGCAAATGAAAAAAAAATTTTCCTAAATCTCTCTGCCCAAAACCACCAGTCCCTCTCCAGACCTGTAACAGTTCTGACACCAGCAAATGGTGACAAGAGCTTGATGGCCTAGCAGAAGGGAAGAGACCACAGGAAAGCCAGGCACAATAAATGACACTGTAGGGCAGCCTAGGGACATGTTAGATAGTTCCAGTTGCTGGCTGTCCCTAAAGGTGAACTGGCATTATCACGAACCCTATTTCAGAATGCCAGGGAGTATATAGC